CACTGAGAAATCAGTTTTAGAAAACAGAGTTATTCAACCCGTTTTGTGTCCAGTCAGAAAATTAGGGACAATGCATAGTTTGTTTAGTTCCAGCACATGGGTGATACCGACCCAGCTTTATATCACACTGGATTAATCTGATGCTGTTTGGGTGCCTCTCCCAGATACAAGGTGAATATGAGTTAGCTTGGAGAGGCTCATGCACAATATAATACCAAGCTCATAGCAGAGAGGAGGAAATTGTATTTGAAAGATGTGGCAGAGATTCTTCCCATCCCACTGCCTGGGCGTGTGGGCCTACTGTATTTGTAATATGCTGGGTGGCCAGTTTTCAAAGTTTGTTTGAAAGCAACTGTGCTTTTATGATGGGCCTAAGAATTGGCAACACTTGTGCTTAGATTGCCACAGTATTTTTTTTTTATGGGCTATGTTTCATAAATATAGTTGGAAATTAAAGAAGCTACAGAATACCACAAGTTACTTGTTAAAGAGGCAACTGAAATAAAAGAATGTGAGAGTCGCCATGTTCACTCAGACCAATAATTAACCTAACTCAGCATTACATATTCCTGTAGTGACCAGCAGAATAATATTTAATTATCATTATAAATGTCATTCATTAAATATGATCCAGACAGGATATTTAATATAACAACCTTCCACTTTTTAACAAATTAAAGTTAAATAAATGTGCACATGCAAACATAATATTAGCATATTATCAAAAGTGCCTATTTCAGGTACTTAATGAAGTATAAAATAACTTAACAATGTAATAAACAAAAATATTGATTACTGTTAGAAGGAAAGGTCATCTTTATAGTTTCTTTTTCAATCTATTATGCTTTTTATTTACAAACCCACAGATTAAGATTGCTGCTTTGCAAAGCTTTAGTTGACCGTTCTATTAATTAGTGCTTGCATCCCTAGTTATGAGGTTTTTTGTGTGGAACTAAGGCTGTGTGCACATTACTCTGCATCTGGTGTACTCCTTCCACTGGTTTCCAGAGCTGTGTACTCATGATGCTATCCTCAATCCATATATCCTTTAGTTTATTGGGAAATGCTGCGTTTTGATGCCTTTCCCCCAGGATCCGACTTAAAACACAAGCCGTGTGAATACAATCCATGCCCCCTCCATGCCTGCTGGTTTGGACAGACAGTGATCTAATAGAAAACACATCCAGTTGTACTGATGCGCACAATGATGCGCAAATGTGAGTTGAAGGGGTGCTAAATTTATTTTGCTGGTTTGGGGATTTATTCATCCATTTTCCTTTGGACAAGTATTTGTAGTCAAAAGGTATAAGTAATGGTGGTTTCTTGGATTCACCTATCCTTGTAGATCACAGAGGTAGAGGTAGAAGGGCAGATTTTTGTATGCAGGCAGAACCCACTGAGCCACAAGTTATAGGTTAGGTTAGAAAAAGGAATAATAGGAATGTAAAAATAAGATTAAATTCAGCAGATATTATTATAGAGGGGCCAGATACAGTTTAGGAGAGGATATTAAAGGGCAAGTTGAATCTACTGTACTCACTTGATTTCTTTAATATGGTAGCAAGTACACAAAAACTCATTGTGAAGGAACAAGATTTATAATCTTCTTATCATCACCATTTCTCTTGTACAGATGGGTAAGAACCTCATTATTCCATGAAGCTTGCACCACCTCTGAGAAACCAAGTCATTTCCCTGGTGATGGAAAAGAAACCCTATTTATGTATTAATATTTGGATTGTAGCTTGCTTACCTGCCTATTTGGCCATTGCAGCGCCATGGGGTGTATCGGGGTGTCCACCTCCTCGTCCAGTTTTGAAAAACCATTTGTACATGTTCCATCTGTTGTGTAATAACCCTTACTAATGTGCCATAGAGTTAAAGTTGTAGTGATTACTTTATTTTCCAAATAAAAGAAGATAGATTTCCAGGAGGGTGCTGAGTATTTTTTTTTTTCTGAAAAGGGGGCGGTAGGCCAAATAAGTTTGGAAACTTCTGCTTTAGAGAATAACATATGCAAAAATGACATGTCTATCCTGATGCATTTACAATATAAGGGAATAGTCCTAAATATTAGAAGTCAGCATAATTTATGCAGGTTTAAATCAAGCTCCCTTCTGAAGCAGGACCCGTCAGCTGAACCAGCCTAAACCTGGCAGAAGGAAAACAAGCCATTAAAACACCGTTTGATTTATACCACTCTTTATAAAGCTATGCTGGGTTGCCAGGTCCCATGTGCTGCCATTTACATGCACTTTTAATTCAATAATACTTTGGTCACTGCTCCCAGTTGCTTAAACAATCTTGCACCAGGTTCCATACGGTAGTCAGGTTTAAGTCCAGGGTTGCCACCAGCTGGTCAGTTGCATGACCAACTATTCTAGGGCACAGTCATTTAGGGTGTCTAGAAATTTTATTATTGGTATGAGCTTTCGTATGCATGCACACTTCTTCAGATACCAAAGTGTGCATGCACACGAAAGCTCATACCAATAACAAACTTAGTTGGTCTCTAAGGTGCTACTGGAAGGATTTTTTTAAAATTTTGTTTCGACTACAGCAGACCAACACGGCTACCTACCTGTAACTAGAAATTTTACTTCTTTGTCATGACTGGAACACATATGTAGCCAGTCTGAGTGTAGTTGAAGCGGCATATTATTACATTTCCTCTTTGGGATGCTTCCATGATTTCATTCTTCATCTCAAGGTCTCCAGGATCATTTTGACCAGGGGAAAGATAACATGTGCCCTGAACTAAATTACTCTTTGGGTCTGATATCAATACCCATAATGATTCTGTGGCAACATCTTACAGACACCCCTCCATTCACGTGGGGTTATGTTCCAAGGCACTTCGCACGTTGGTGAAGTGGCAGTAATTGAAACCGATTGAAAAAGCCTGCAAACACCCCATTCTTCCCTTTCAGTGACGTTTCAGTGATCTCTTTATGACGTTTCCAAGTCTCTGCTGGGTTTGGCGTGATATGCGTATACATAGTTGTGCGCATATCAAACGAGTGAAAACGGGGGGCTGCCTATAGACACCTGGGCTCTGCATCCACTTGGGGTGCTTCTGAATGGGCCCTCCCCTGCAACCACCTGATTCCCACTTCAGCCATTATGGAACAGTGCACAGCCCTGGCCCCCTCAATTGTGGGGGCAAGGGGACGTACTTGCCAGAGGTAAAAGTAACAGGTACCAGGTGTCTGGAAAGACAACTGCCTGAGACCCTGGAGAGCCACTGCCAGGCAAAGCAGAGAATGCTTCCTATGTGCTTTTATTTTGGCGGAAACAGCCTGACTGTAGCTTATATCTTTGTTAACTGCTTTGAGGTTTTATTGCAATCAAGTGGTAAGTAAAGCTCGTATAGTAAATATATGGATGTATAGTCGGCATCCGCCTGTCTTGAGAGTGCAGCTCTGGGCATGAAGTCAGACTGGGCTGCCCAGATGACAAGTGTCTCAGCCTCAGTGATGTGGTCCAAAGGGAAGCAGAGCAGGACGTTTGGCACCAGCTTGGCTGCAGGAGTTGCCAGAAGGAGGCGTCCAAGACGCCATCCAACCCTCTTAGGGACTCCACTCTGGATTTATATAGTGTTTACTCCATGGGTAGGCAAACTAAGGCCTGGGGGCCGGATCCGGCCCAATTGCCTTTTCAATCCGGCCCACGGATGGTCTGGGAATCAGTGTGTTTTTACATGAGAAGAATGTGTCCTTTTATTTAAAATGCATCTCTGGGTTATTTGTGGGGCATAGGGATTCTTCCCCCCCCCCAAAAAAAATAGTCCGGCCCCCCACAAGGTCTGAGGGAGAGTGGACTGGTCCCCTGCTGAAAAGGTTTGCTGACCCCAGGTTTACTCCTTAGCCCTTTCTTCTTCCGAACCTCAAGGCAGTGGAGGTTTATGGTCAGACTTTTCTTTCTCTGCGATGGGCCCCCTACTCAGGTTGATGAGCCCCACCTGCCTCTCACTTCCCTCTGCAGCATGTGCAGAAACCACCTTCTTGGCTGTTGGGCCCACTATTGGGCTCGTCCACTCAGTCTGCCGGACACATGCAGGGGAAGGCCTTAACTCACCGAGGGCTTGAGACCCATGGGCTACCCTCACCTGGCTTAGCCGGCCATTTGGAGCCCTTCTCAAGGTGTAGCAGCTGCTGCAAGCTGAGTTTCTGGGTGAGAGCTGAATGCAGGGTGGGGAACACAGGTCAGCAAACTACCCCAGAGGAGCATGGCTGTTGGTACCCTCTGGTGGGGTAGTACCCTTCTCCTAACACTCCATACACCCATGGATGTAGCACACATGGATTAATGCAGAGCCCATTGGGGTGCTTTTTAGATGCGTGTTGCCTAATCTGACCCCCCCCCCCCCGCCCCACTCTGCCTGCTTCTGCCCAGGCCCCCAAAGGCACAGCTTTGAATCTGGTGCGATGTAAAATCTCCCATGGAGAATAAAATGGCCCGAGTTAAATTTGGACTTCCCTTGGGTGCTTGCACTGCCATTGTCACCTGAACTCTCCACCTGACTGCAGCATGTTGTGGTGAAGGTGGGGAGAAGCAGGCCAGCCCTGCCTTTAGAAAGCAGTGGGAGAAGCTGGCTCCCCAGGAGAGCGGGCGTGCCAAAGCCTGCACAGATTCAGGGGTCCAAAAAGAGAGAGTGTGGAATTTAATTCAGCTCCACATATTTGCACATAATGAGAAATGCCGGAAGATAAGCACAAAGGTAAAGCGGGGATGACGAGCCGTGCATTGCAGGTCCTTCTCTATCTGGAGAATCCCCACGAACTTTTTTGCTCTCTGTGTTTTTTTAACACCTATGATGGACATTCCTTGAACATAAACGTGGGAGCCTGAAGGTCTGGAGGGTTTGCCTGCCTCTGGGCTGGGAAAGGGAAGGCGGCACCCCGCCGCCTGAGGGAGAAGGTCCTCCCCGAGGGCACCCCGCTTCTCTGGCGCTTCCTCCCAGCCGCCGAGGGGGAAAGGAAGGGGCGAGCGGGGGCCGCGTGCCGCAGCCTGCCGGCCCCCCGGAATCTCCTGGGGCCTAAGCGCCACCCGCCCCTCGCGCCCTTCTGGTCTTGTTCGGGCTTTTGCATCCTCCGCTCTGGTCGCCTTTAAGGCGGAGAGGCCCTCCCGTCCCCGAGGCTGAAGCGCTCCAGAATCCCCGGGGAAGGCAGGGCTCCCCTTTTTGCGCCAGCCCCGCTCCACGTGGAGAGGCGCGCGCAAAGGGAGGAAAGTTGCGCGAGCTGCGCTCCGGCAGGATCGCTGGGTGTGTGTGGGTCTGTCTGTCTTTCTCCCGGCAGCTCGCCTCCCCCCAAACACCCAGAGGGGGAGGAGAAGGAGCGAGGGAAGGAGAGGAGGGAGGCGGCGGAGGGCTGAGCCGGACAGCCCGGCAACATCTGCAAAACTTGGAGGAGAGGCGGGAGGAGGCAGAGGAAGCGGCAGACTCGGGGCAACTTTTCGGAACACGTGAGTTATGAGAGTTGCATGTTTCCCTTTCCCCTTCTTCTTCTTCCCTGGACCGAGAGGCAGAGAAAGGAACGAAATCAGAGAAGGGGGAGAGAAAGAAGAGAAAAGCGCAGCCACAGGGAAGAGGAGGAGGAGGAGGAAGGGGCAGCGGCCCAAGCGCGCCTTTTCCTCCCTTTGCGTGCAAGTTTGTGATTTGCGAACTGGCGGCGGACTGTCCTCCTTTTTTCGGGGTTGTTTCGGTTGTTGTTGTCAAACCGGGAGAAATGTCACTCCGGGCTCCTCCGTGAGTCAGAAGGGATCGGATTACAGCGGGCGGGCGGGCGGGCGGGGGGGGGCGAGGAACCGCTGGAAGGTCTCGGCGGAGAAAGAGAAATAAGCGCGCGCGCGCCTGAAGGCAAAGCCCCAACGGGAGGGCGAGCGCCGGGCGCGTAAAAGAGAAGGCAGACCCCCAACCCCCCCCCGCTCCTCCCCCTGCCCAGCCCGCCCCTCCAAAACAGGAGCCCAGTGCCCTCATTCATCCTCGGGGAGCGGCGCTGCGAAGTTGGCAGCGGAGGAGCCGGCGAGGCCCCGATCTTCGCCTATGGGGGACTGGCGGGCTGCTCCCCACCCCGGCCGAAGCGGCGGCGGCAGGTAAGCCGTTCCCCCCGTGCTTTCCGGGCGGGTGGATGCGCGCGCGCGCGCGTGTGGAAAGAGGGAGAGGAGGGGAAAGTTCTTTGTTTAACTTGCCGTGCGCTGGCCGCGCGGAAAAGAAAGTTGGAGTGGGGCTGGGAGGGAGGGCGGGAGAAGAGCTTCCCTTTTCTGCCCTCGATCCCTCCTCCGAGTCCGGCGGGATGGAGAGTTCGGGGCTCTTGGGGAAGTGGAGCTGGCCAGGCTTGCTGGCGAGCGGCTCGGCTGGCGCTCTTGCAGGGGCTTGTCCCGGAGCAAGCCCGGCTCGGCTCGAGCTGGCGGAGGCGCCCAAAGCGCGCGGCGCGTGGGCCTCTCCGCGCCCCCTTCTCGCCCCCTTCTCGACTCGGAGAGCATTGGGAGGCTTCAGGTCCCGCAGCTCACTTGAACTGCTGCGCATTTTGCAGACTCCCAGCAGCTGCTTGGCCTCTTCCAAGGGGCGGGAGGGAAGGAGAGAGCGGGGTGGAAATAGCGTCGACTTTCTTGCCAGCAGTTTCTGTGGTGGCTGGAAGTTTGCCACATCTGGAAACTGGGTGGAAGCAAGTGATCGGATGTGGTACTGTACACAACCTTCTGCTGTTATTTGCAGTGTTAGGAAGGGTGCCTTTTCAATCTCTTCTCTCTCTCTTTTTTGGAGTGATTCATTTGCTTGGAAGGTCCTGGGAAAAAGGGAGGGGGTGTTGAAGGAAGGTGGGAGCAAAGCTTCCAGTTTGAGAAAAAGCTGAGAGTTAAAAGCGAAACTTTCAGAGTTTACTGTTGCAGAATGAGAGAAGGGTCCCCGTGGCAACTAGAAGGTTGGTTAGCTGGTTTTGGCACAGATGCTTGAGTTTCCATTGTTAGCTGACACTTTGGTAATAATCTGGCAAGGTGCAACCCAAATGCTCCCTGGATCTGAATATTTTTCTGTTGTGCAGATTTCTCCTTTCTTTACATTTTGGCTGCTTCTGCCAAACTTCATTCTCTGGATGGCGAGGACTTCTTGACCGGACAGCTATATGAATCACACCCAAGCAGTTAACTTTCTCAAACTTGGGAAAGGGCTAGATGGAGCTTGGAAAAAGAGGCAGAGTAAATAGTGGCAGGCAAAGCAATTTGGATTAGACTCTTGGGCAAGTAAACACATCAAAGGGACCCTAAAAGGCTCCTGGAAAGTATCTGTATTGTTATGTCAGCGCAACCCTTCTTCTTTTGGGTTGTTCACAGTTGCAGCTTTTGTGATTGGGAGGGGGGGCTGCCACTTGGGGTTTGCGGCTGCAAGCACCATGTGGGGGAAAGGGTTTAAAAAGCTAACCCCCTACCCCAAATTATTTCAATCCTCTGGTGTATCATGTTGATTCCATCCTTGGGGTCTGGTGTTTGTGGCCTTTTGCCAGTTTATATGTAGAGATATTTATGTAAAACATTTTCTTGCTGTTCTCTGCCAGCTGTTCCACATTTTCCAGCTGCCAGTTCAGTTTGAAATGATGGGCCATTTCCATCCCAGCCTAGCAGAGCCTTTTTAAGGCCAAGTTATAGGTGGCAAGTTAGCATGCAAGGGGCCTAAGAGAAGTCCGCATTAGCTAGCTGGGCAGCAGACGTTGTTAACTTGCTTCTTTTTGGAAGGCATTAAACTTTTTTTTAAAAAAAAAATCAGGCCTTTTCCATTTTGATGTTTGAACCTGCAATTTTGGTTTTATTTGTATGGGTCACAGAAAAAAACTCATCTGTTCCCAGCTCTTTTGAATTTGTGGTTCTTTTAATTATATCAGGGCATTCTGTGCCTTTCTCTGTGTCCGTATGATTCCAAAATGGCAACACAAATACTTGGGTGCAAGTGAACACCGAGAAACCAAGCTTGTGTTTGAGAGGAGTAGATGAGGAAGGAAAGAAGGGGTTGTCTTCTCTGCCTAGATTATACCCTAAAATTACTCATAAGTAGCCTTTAACTGTTCAGTGCATTTATGCAGTTGCATTCTCAATTTGGAATGGTGTGTTAGTGATCGATGCCTATAATTGTTTCCTTTAGGCTCTTTATTAAAAATTAATTGGGATCTGACAGTTTATTAATTGCATATCTCAAAGATTATTTTGAAAGAAGGATGCAGTGTTTAAAATGTAAAGAATTATGAAAATTTGAAATACTTCTGAGCACCTTATTGTAGCTGAGTTGAGGTTATCTGTTAAAAAAAACCTAACCATGAATGACTTCAGCAGTGTAAACTGTATAAAGTATTTCAAGAATTTATTTACGAGATATTGCTTGCAACTTACTGGTGGATGACTTGTAGATGGTTATTTTTCAGCCTTATTAAAACAAACATTAAATTACATCAAATTGGCTGTAAGAGGCAGTTGGTTAGCTTTTGCTAGAACAAAACAGCTCCAATTCTCTGCATGTTTGCTCAGAAGCAGGTCCTACTGAGATCAATGGGACTATAGATGAAGCAAGTCTGTGTAGAAGAATGCAGTTCACTTGATTTCTTACACTGTGTTTGTAAGACACCCTTACTAGGAAATAAATTCCAATGAAATCAGTTAGATAGAATATACTTTGAAGCAATTATGTTTAGGATCAGGGTGCTGGAAATCAGGAAAGATGGAACAATGATGTAATGTAATTCTTCAAAGGAAAAAATCAAAGCTAGAGAGTCAGTACAGTAGCTGTATTTCAAGGGTGTATGTGTGCATGTGTTCATAATTTTACGTCGCATCACTGCTCATGTTCGTCAGTGAAACTTTGTTTGCTAAAGCTTTTATCTGCATAAGAAATACTGAACCAAAACAGACATTGCATATAATGTCTTGACTAAAAATGCAAAACTTGTACCCAACACCAAACAGAAGTTTGTAGAAAAGGCAAAGTCTTTTGAAATATAAGTGGTTTGTAGTTACGTTCCAGGCATCTTGCATTATTTTCATATGGTATTTTTCATTTGGGTGAGATATCTTTAGACAGAGACAACATTTTCTATATGCAAAATGTTGAACACTAGTTCTGCTGCAAACACAACAACCAGAGCACTTGCATTTAAAGTTTAAAAGTTTAAAATTCATGTGGGGAGAGGTCCAGCTTTGTACTATAGAAAGCAGTAACTAGTTTTCATTGATTTCAATGGAGTAAGGGTGACTTTCTTTGCTGTAATTATTAATTACCTTTTATAGGACTTTTAAGAGTACTAAAGTCATCTCTTTCTTACTTGCAATCATTTGTAATTACTAGCATGCATCACTGTCCTGTTTTACGCTTTGCAAAGGTGTTTATTTGATGTTTAAAGGCATTTTAGAAAACTTTCCTACAATTTCCCTTCAGAGTAAAGCATCTGATGCTTATTAAAGTGGGAAGGGGGAGGCCAGAGAGTTATGAAAGGAAACGGTTTAATGGCCATTGTTGCCTGCACTCCAGCGTGAGGAGACAGTAATGTACTAAGAAGAAGCAGACTAGGAGCAAGAGTGAATCAATGAGTCATGAAATCCTCAGGAAGACCTTAGTAATGGAATGTTAATGCTTTTAGACTATAGCAGATTATCTCAAAAGTCAGAGTTTTCTACTATATATGCAATTGTGGTAAATCCCCTAAACTAAAGAAATACTTTGAAGAAGGCATTCCTAAGACTGGCCCTCATATTCTTCAGTTTATTTGATTTTATTCTTTTTAAGAAGTCAAGACATATTTCATTTGATCAGTTTGCAGTAAGGAAGTGAGATGCTAAATTCACTCAATAAACCTTTTGTTCTTGTTTTACAAAAGGCTCAGCTCTAATAATTCTTTCAAAGAGCCTTTTAATCAGTATTTCCAAAACATACACCTTCAACCTTCCTTTGCTCTCCCTGTTCTGTCGCTTGTCTACATTGGAATTGATTTGTTCCAGCTTAAAAAAATAAAATAAAGGGAGATGGAATAAACAAAATAAAAATAAAATTGGGAGCATCCTGTAAAACTTTTTTTCAAGTTTTCTCTGTGTATTTTCCCATCTTTACTTTTATTTGATAGGTCTGTGAAATAGAGCTGTAGACTGGCAAAGACTTTAAATGAAATTTCACACTTTGATGATTTTTTTTTCAACTTTGATATATTGACAGCAAAAGGAGCTGCAAAGCTTTTATATAACTTGAGCAGTAACGCCAAGCAGCAGTCAAACGTCTCTCTGCATTTGTGTTTAACTGCAGAAGAAAAACATGTCCATGGGCAGTTGAGGTTCTTATCAACTCCCTAATCCCAGATCCCAGCAAACCTTGAGGGCATGCCTCAGATCTTGCTGAAATCATTGTAGACTCTCTCACAGTTTGCAGATTAAATATGCTATGTGTTCCTGGCTCCAACAACAGTTTTATGAGCTTACTAAGCTTCCTGTTTTAA